GCAAGCACTCTACCACTGAGCTATACCTATCCCTACTCTCTAGAAATGTTTATAGACACAGCACTAGGAAGGGGTTAGGGAACATTCACCCCAAGTCACTTGGGCATCCTAGTGTTTATAATGGCCAGATTTGCTGTAGAATAAGACTCAGGACATGGACGGAAGTTGTCTTCAAGCTTTTCTCCTCCAATAACTGGTTGTGTTGAAATTCTCACACTGAGAATTTAACAAAACACCTGATCCCATCAGCACACATGGGCCTTTGTTGGTGACAACTACTTCCTGTCCAGGTCAGTCCTCACAGAAGTGTACTTTCTATGCTGTTTACACTCTCTGGCTGTTTGACAGAGGATTTCACGACCCCTGACAACCTGGAGCCTCCCTTCTCTCACACATTGTAGGTCATCAGGTCGGAGAGCAGCATCACGTGCCTCCTGTCGATGCTCATGCTATGGTTGACCATTGTGTACTGGATCTTGTTGATGATGGTTGTCCGGGCAGCCTCAATGCCCAGAGTTTTCTCCACTTAGGGAGAGCTAGGAGTGAGTGGAGGCAGTCCCTTCTGGGAGCTACCTCACTACTAGTTCTTCCCATTTGACAAGCACAAAGCAAACACTGCTCTATTATCAAAGTAGATTGTTGTGTAATTGTTGGGGAAGCATAAAAAAAAGGGTCAGGAAACTGCTGGGTATTGGCTGAGGGTCCAGATGTAATGGTACCTCTTATGTGTTATTGGAAGTCATCTGAGTGCCTTTTACACTATTGGTGGCCATGACTGCACAAAGGTTGTCACCTTCTACCAGAAGCTTGAACTTCTCCTTCCCACACTGCTCATCAATATGGATGACAGCTCTGGACACCCCCAGGGTGCCCTGTGCCACCACCTACATTCAACACAGAATTCTTAAGATGCTGCAACCCCTAGGTCCCTACTGAGAGCATCATAAATGGGGCTGAAGAACGGGCTGGTAACTAGTTCATGACGTTCTCAGCCCATTTATCACCAGCAGTGTGTGTACTCCAGGGGTGCCTAGGTACTGCTTGGGTTAGGGGAAAGGTGGTTCAGAGGACTGTGCCCCAAC